ATGTAAATTGACCATATCTCCACGATGACCCACAACCAATTAGGAGGGAATATGCAAAATAGTGGGACAAAGATGGCAGCTTCCACAGAGCCAGCCGGAGTAGGTGGGAGGCTTAGGTCATCCCCAATGATGGAGGAAGCCAAGCTTCCTGCCTGCCATGGCCAGCTGCCGAAGCAGGAACCTGTGGGTGGCGGCCAAGGAGCAGGCGGAGTGAGTGGGAGGCTTGGGTCCCCCCGGTGATGTAGGAAGCTTGGCTTCCTCTGTTGTTGGGGGTGACCCAAGCTTCCCACCTGCCCCGGCTGGCTGCTGACAAAGGAGCCTGTGGGCGGCGGCCACAGAGTCCGCCTGAGCACAGAGGATGCTTGGGTCACCCAGGCCAGCTGCCCCAAGACTGGGCACACCACCATCAGGGTGAGGGTCCCTGCTGGGGGTTGTGGCCAGCCCAGGCTGGGCCAGGCCCTCCCCCCCCCCAGCAGGGACCCCCATCCTGAAGTGGGTGTGGCCAGCCTGAAAACGGCTCTCAGCCCCTTACCCAGGGTTGGCCATGCCCCCATGGGTGAGGGTCCCCACTGGGGGTGTGGCCAGCCTGCAAACAGCCATGAGCCCTTTAAACAAGGCTGGCCAGGCACCCCAGCAGGGACCCCCATCCTGAAGGGGGTGTGGCCAGCCTGAAAACAGCCCTCAACCCCTCACTCAGAATGGCCACAACCCCCAGTGGGGACCGTCATCCCATGGGGGCATGGCAGGCCTGAAAACTGCCCTAGCCTCTTGCCCAGTCCAACACCATCCCCAGTAGGGACCTGCACCCCAATGGGGGAGTGGCCAGCCTGCAAACCACCATAGGCCCCTTACTCAGGCCGCCCCACCCCCAAAGGGAACTCCCACCCTGATGTGGGACACCCTTCAGGGCAAACCAGCTGGCCCCTACCGGTGCACCAGGCCTCTATCTATACTAATTAAAGGGTAATATGCTAATTAGACTGGAGACCTTCCAGAAGACCTTCCTGATGTTCTTCTAGACAAAGCCATGGTGGCAGGGCTTGGGTAAAGGTGGTTAGGGGCCAAGAGGGGAGGGAAGTTGTGGGTGATTAGGCCAGGATGGGACAGCAGTTTGGTGATCAGGGCGGTGGTGGGGGACAGGTTGGGGTGAGCATGCTGGCAGAGGGGGCAATTATGGGTGATCAGGCTGGAGGAGGGGCAGTTGGGGGTGGACGGCTGGGGGGGCAATTTGGGGGTGAGCAGGCTGGCAGGCAGAGTGGTTAGGGGCAGTTAGGCAGGCAGGCAGGTGAGCAGTGAGAAGCCAGCAGTCCCAGATTTCGAGAGGGATGTCTGACTGCCGGTTTAGGCCCAATCCGGATTGGGCCTAAACCGGCAGTCAGACATCCCCTGAGGGGTCCCAGATTGGAGATGGTGCATGCTGGTCTGAAGGACACCGCCCCACACCCCCTCGCATGCATGAATTTTGTGCACTGGGCCAATAGTAAACCTATAATGGGACTGGGTTTTTCTGTAATAAAAATTTCTACAAACTCTTCTGTTTCCTTTTATAATACTGGTCAGCTTAGCTCTCTCAGATCGTATTCTCTGGAATGTAGTCATTATATGTATGATATAGCATTTCAAGTATTTTAAGGTGCTTCCATCTCAGTTATCTTATTTTAATACCACCACACCTCTGTGATGCTGATGTGGCTACATATAGAGACCAAAGTTAAAGGATTTGCTGAAGATCATGAAGTTAGTGGGAATGCTGAAGCAAAAAATCCACTTCAACTGGCTACTAATCCAGGACTTTTTCTACTTCATTATAAGGAGTGTTTTGAAGGAATCATCTTTTTGACATTCTCAAAAGTCAGCAGTTGAGGAAGCATTAAAATTATGGAAGTATAAACTGGCAAAATGAGACTTCATTTTGTACAATTGTCTGTATAATTGGCAACCTTGTTATGTTTGGATCTAATAAAACTATGACATGACACAAAGAACTTTCTTTTTCTCTTTCCAAACTTTTGAATCATGTAGTAATTACAGTATTAACCATGTACTAAATCATTAAGACTCATTCACTCTTTCTGATTTGAAAGATTTTTCATGTTTTCCTTTTAATAAAGAACTCAAACTGCAGATATCTGTGAGTATGGTGCTATGGTATTTATCTGGAGATTTTTTTCTTCTATCCTCTTTTAATTCTTTTCTAGTTTATAAACATACACCAACATCTTAATACCCTCATAAACTGGTTCATGATTAAAACCTTTTGGATCAATGACCACGGCACAGAAACATTTGTGTCATTTACTAAAGACAGTTCTCACACCCCTTCCTTTTCCCTTCGATTATTTAGAAACAAATTGGGGAACAGAGATGTATGAAGACACCAGAAGCTAAACAGGGAAGTATGTATGTGAGTGTGTGTGTGTGTGTGTGTGTGTGTGTGTGTGTGTGTGGGGGGGGAGTGCGCATGGAAGGACCAAATGGAAAATATTTGAATCACAGCAAATATCCATTGTCTATATTTAAGGTGTGCAATCTGATTCAGTATACATATGCATTGTGAAAGAATCACTACAATCAAGCTAATTAATGTATCTGTCAACTCACATGGTTACCAAAAGTGACTCCATTTTAAACTTTTTCACCTCCATTCTTTTCAACACTACTGAACATCATAGCTTAGTCCAGGCAGTTTCTTCTGAATGCATATTGCTTTCACATCATTATAAAATCAAAAAATTATAAACATGAAAAATCATGAATAAAATTGTGAGTCATTTTTGTTAAGCCATGACACCAATCAAAAACTTAATAAATAACCAAATTTCAGTTTCAGCCTCTTCCAGAGATGGAATTGTAAAACACTTAATTTGGAATTTCCTGATCAGCACTGGTAAGGTAATCTGCCTGATAAGACCCCCTGCCTTCCCCTGAATGAAGGTGTCCTTGCTTAAAATTATCCAGTCTTTAGCTTGGTAATCCCACCCTCTTCCTGCCTATAAAAACCATCCATTTTGTAAAACTCACCAAAACACCTTTCTAGTTGCTAGATAGGATGCTGCCCAATTCCTGAATTGCTTAATACAGCCAATTAGATCTTCAAACTTATTTGTGAATTTTGTTCTTTAGCTCCTGCCCCCTTTGTACCTAGAAAACTGTCTCTGATGTAGGACCCCTTTGCTCCAGGTTTTTCTCAGAGTGACCCCCAGTGTTCTAGATGAGGAGATAAACAGGTGCACATAGTAATCTGTCCCCTCTTCCCCCTCCACCACTGCCAATCAGTTGGAACACTGCACCTCCCAAATCTATTCCTTTCTTCACTGCCTCAGACTTCTTAGCTCTAAGAGAAGGGAAAGGACACTGACTCTGCTCTTTAGATTCATGCACTAATATCTATGGACCTGTGAAGGTGAGTATGGAATCTGAATAGGGCAAGTTAGAGTTAGAAGGGTTGGTACTGAGCATGGCTGGGGGAAAAAAACCCAGGAACATTGGAAGGAGCTTGCTTGACTTTCTAGGTGGTAGAGTTGAGAATGCAGTAATCCAATTTGTAAGAAGCGAAGACCTGAATTTAACTCAGTATTAATCTTACTAATTCACACCTCTTTTCCTCCCCAATATTTTCAAGCATAATACATTGAAGCAGCTTAAATCTTGGTCTTCTCCTCCTGTTTAGGCCATTTGAGTTAGGGATAGGGTGCCACAAATAAGAACATGCCTATCCCTTATTCTGTGCCTGACAGAGCACTGGAGACCCTCAAAAGTGCTCTCATGCAAATCCCATTAGACTCTCACAGGTCAGTAAGGGAGCTTCTATTAGGCTCATTTGAGGACACCAATTCTGAAATATTGAGAATCAGGTTAGATTTTCTGTAGGGCTAAGTGAATTCCTTGTGCTAACTGAGGACAGGGAGCTGGTTTAAAGGGGAGACTTTTTCAAACATACCTAGGCCCTGATTTTGACCAGAGTAGCTCCTGTGATGGCAGTGTCAATATTGGTACTTGGTTGCTTAGAATCCTACTTCAAAACTTCATAATGGTATTCTTAATGGCAAATCAAGATCCTTCAGCATGATGATAATTAGGAAAATGGTCTCTGAGAAGGCAAGTGGGTAGTCAGAAGGGCTACCATGTTTCAGGCAGGCATTGGGGAAGTGCTATGAGGAAGTGGAGATGAGTTAAGTACCAATTGCAGTCAGTTTTAATTGCAGCCTGGGATTTCAGGTTTCCAAAGCCTTCCTGCTTGCAAAATGTTTCCCAAGTCT